TAAGAACTGTATATCTCCTAATCCCGGAGATAAGTTAGGGCAGGAGACAGAAGAATCAGGCAGAGCTGCAGGCACAGCCCGAATCAACATGGAGGTGTATGCCCCTTGCAATTTTGATAATTATTCAGGTGCCAAGGGCTTACTCAGGCACATCAGATTCTGGGTATAATGGGGAATCAGGTGCTATAGAAGCAAATAAACTGCTGGCATCTTTTGTTCTCTAACATGTACAAGAAAAGGCCATCCCTAACGCACCCAATCCGTGTTCTTCTCAGTCAGGAAGCTTGCCCACCCCATCTCCGGTCCTGGGGACATCTCAGGCACACTCCTGACCCACACCAGCCAACGGTGCCAACGAGGCTCCCCTTTCCTTAGGCTTGAGTTTTTCCAGTGCTGTGCAAAATTCATCTCTTACTCTTTTCCTCATAAAGTATTGGTTATTAAGTGCATTAATGCTATCATTTTTTAAGTGTGATAATTATAAAAGATTTTATGCAATATGTTTAACCGCAAGAAACATTCACCTCATCTGTCCTCTTCAGCACTGACATGCATCATGCATACCTTGGGGATTTAGCTTTTGGGTTTTAATTTAGGCATAATAGTTGTATGTGAACAAGTACAATGATTTAGGGCAGTAAAAATCACCAAATAACTCTGTATAGAATATCATAATTATTCTCATTAGAAGTACATCCGAAAATGGGAGTTCTCTGTCAATTAACCAAATATGCTAATTTCTCTACAGACAGATGCTTGACAAATTCTATAGGCATGGGGAAAACATTGCTCCACAAGCATTTAGAGTAGAAGGGTTTAGCTGCAGTTAAAAAAACTGACAGCAGGAAAATAGAGACAAACATTCAACTTTCTAGCAAAATAGGATATATTTTGATCTTACAGAATAGATGAGAGAAAACTTGCAGTATTTTTCAGTTATGGAAGCAATCTGCCATATAAATAAACACATGTACATATATATGTTTGCACTCATACATATAAGTATTTTATTTTTGCGGTGCATAATAACTTTATTTACTGCTTTATTATTTTACATGTACACACAAGTATATCAGTTTGCAATAAACCATTTCCTAGGTTTCCTGAGTACATGAAAATAAAAACTGTCATTTGGACTACACTGCAGCATAAAGAACAGTTCTACTTATGTGGCTTCCTTATATTCTATCCTAAGAACACACCTGGACTATCAAATGGTGCACTAGAGCCTGTTTGAACTTGACATTGACAACAGTAACATTAGTTGCCCATCATAATTCAAACTACACGGAAACTGCAACAATATGGTATTACGTAAGAGCAGAGAGAGGCTGAATTCCATTACCTAGCCAGTATTAGCAGTGATGGGTTTTTGTCTGTGTTGTTTACCGTTACATCTGGATTACACTTCTCTGAGCTATGAAATCTTTCAGGTTCAAATTGAGAGGCATCTTCCCCGTACAAACAAGTATGGAAAAGAAGTCATTTACTCGACGGCACTTGTACGAGCTTCCCAGGGCTGCTATCACTGAATATCACTAACTGGGCAGCTTAAAACAACAGAACTTATTCTCTCACAGTTTTGGAGGCTGGAAGTCCAAAATCACGGTGTTGGCAGGTCCATGCTCCTCCCTCTGGAGCTTTAGAGAAGACTCCTTCCCTGCCTCCTCCTAGTCTCTGGCAGTTGATAGCAATACAAACATTTCTTGGTTTGTAGCCATAGTGTTCCAATTTCTGCTTCCATTTCTACATCTTCCATTTCCACATGGCCTTCTTCTCTTGGTTTCTTCTGTCTCTGTGTGTCTCCAAATCTCATTCTCTTTAGAAGGCCTGATGTGAAGCTCACCGGCCCTAGGCCAGTATGACCTAATCCCATGTGACCTTAACTTGATCATACTGCAGAGACCATATGTCCAAATACAGCCACATTCATAGGTATTAGGGCAAGAACTTGAATACATCCTTTTGCGGGACACACACAACTCAACCCACAATAGCACTCCAGTGGTAAAATTAAATTAATATACCTTCAAAAAATGTTCATTTTTCTTCCTCCCTCCTGGTAGACTCATTACGTTCAATAGTATCTTTTCCTGGTCTCCTTCTCCCACCACGGGAATAACGGGTCCTCCTTATTTTTACAGTTAACCATGGCATTTACCTCACAGATGGAGAACAGCAGCTGGATGAGCTTGATTCTTTGTTTCCTGTTTGTCAGTTCTTTGGATCTAAGTTTTCTAGATTCCACAGGGAAGAGGTCACTCTATCTGTGTTTCTGGGATGCTCTGACCTTTATTTGTTGATTTGGTTTATTTATACATGACCTCCTGACTTAACTAAACACCCTTCCATAGCCTGATCTAAATATACGACAAGGAGGGGAACCTGGGTGGCTCAGTCAGTTAAGCAACTGCCTTTGGCTCGGGTCATGATCACAGGGTCCTGGGATCGAGTCCCGCATCAGGCTCCCTGATGAGCAGGGAGCCCGCTTGAGCAGGAAGCCCGCTTCTCTCTCTCCCTGTCTCCCACTCATGCTCTCTCTCACTCTCTCTCTCTCAAATAAATAAAACCTTTAAAAATAAATAAACTACAAGAAATGTTGACAGTAGAAATAATATATAGCCTTTAATAAATCACTCAAAATCTGACATTCCTTTGTAAACACTTGATGTAATTAAGAGGAAAGAAAAAAAAACTAAATAAAAAAGAAAAAATGTAATCAAGTAGGTTGACAACCAGCAAAAGATAATTAAAATGATCCTGTTTTGTTTCTCCATTTCATTAACATGCAAATGAGATTCATGAAGTTTGATATTGTGGTTCACCAAGAGCCATAGAAACGAATTAAGAATGAAAATGAGTCTCACTGATGGAGACTTCTGATGAGTCTATAAATGAATGTAAAATATGATTCGTTCCAATTAATAAGATATATATTTTGTGTGATTTATTGCATCTTAACAAATGAAATGAATAGTTGAATTAAATTTTGTATCCTTCCACGGGCCAAATCTTAGGAAAGCTCTTACTACTCAAATAGAGCCGTGGTAAATGTAAAACCCTGCCCTACTTTGAAAAGGAATGTAGTAAGATGGAGACCTCACTGTAAGATCAGTGTTGTGATGTCAGCATTCCTGTTGGGAGAACCATGCGGGCAAGAGCTGGACTGGTCTCCAGAGGGGTTAGGAGAGCTCACTTGCCTATGGTCAGTCAAGAATTCAGAACTGCAAATAGGGAGAGAGAGTCCAGTGTGACCATTAACCCTCACTACAAGGCAAATAAAAGTCAGACAAGCTGTGTCTACACAAATGCGTTCAAGGCTCCTCCAATTCCCTATTTTATACAAGGATCTCCGTGCTTGCTCTCCTGATGCCTTCACACCCACAAACAGACATAAGTGATTGTCTCAAATAAAAGGAGCTATCATTTTAAAATAAACTTAAATTTTAAGTTATGCTACAGTGTTAGATATTTATCATGTGTACCAGATGGCAAAATACAGACAGACACACACACGTATGATCTATTTGTTACGTCCAATGTTCATCGTGCTCAGGCATTACAACAGTACCGAGGATAACATCAAGGAGAAAAATGAAAAGAAGTGGCTGACATATGGCATGCGAGAAGGGGATAATAAATGAGCAAATCACGGTTTCAATAATATATGATGTCGGTGTCTATTTTTTCATGGTTGCTAAAAATGTTTTCTGTGTTAGGATTGCCAAGCCTCTTTCCATAGAATGTAAGTGCAGATGGCTTTTGCCTTAGCGTATTATGGAAAGGGGCCACGATGATGCTGTCTGTAAGTGCAGAGTTTTGAAATTCTCTCTTACTTCAATAGCAAGTTGCCTTTTAATTATCTGCACTTTCCTTTAAACATATTCAAGCAATCAAACACAACCTACCTAAGAGATTGTCAACAATACGAACTGAGTATTCCTAAAGGAGCATGAAACTTACTAAGTTCCCTTTCCTCCACAGGAGAGAAAATCATGTCACCTACATTGAGAATTAAACAAACTGAGGGATTCTTATTTTTAAATAACTAGCATCTTGGGTGAAATAAGTCAAACAGAGAAAGACATGTATCATATGACCTCACTGATATGAGGAATTCTTAATCTCAGGAAACAAACTGAGGGTTGCTGGAGTGGGGGGTGGGGTGGGAGGGATGGGCTGACTGGGTGATAGACACTGGGGAGGGTATGTGCTCTGGTAAGCACTGTGAATTGTGCAAGACTGTTGAATCTCAGATCTGTACCTCTAAAACAAATAATGCAATATATGTTAAGGAAAAAAAAAAGAAGAAGAAGATAGCAGGAGGGGAAGATGAAGGGGGGGACATCGGAGGGGTAGACGAACCATGAGAGACGATGGACTCTGAAAAACAAACTGAGGGTTCTAGAGGGAGGGGGGGTGGGAGGATGTGTTGCCCTGGTGATGGGTATTGAGGAGGGCACGTTCTACATGGAGCACTGGGTGTTATGCACAAACAACGAATCATGGAACACTACATCTAAAACTAATGATGTAATGTATGGGGATTAACATAACAATAAAAAAATTTAAAAAAAACAAAAACAAAGAAAACTGTCTAAATAAATAAATAGCATCTTTGAAAATTACTTCTTCTTGCAAGCTTCCTATTTAACTTGAAATAGAGAGTCAATTAAATTTTCATGGCTACTGTATACATCATGATTGTATATTGTTGTAGAAAGGTTTATTTTATAAGAGATATATAAAGCTCACCATACTGAAGGAATTCAGTTCCTTGGGTGCTGAAATGATGATACAGGATTTTAAAATAGGATGTGACCCTTTGCCATTCCAGAACCAGGCCTACAGGTCTTATACTTCCCATGAGTTCCAGCCATTTGCTGATTGAGACATGTACTTCCTTTCACAATATATCACTTATAATGATTTTATTACAAGAGAATGGAAAATTAATGAGATTCATCATGAGCCAATCAGAAGGAAAAAAGCAGACTTACCATCTCTTCGATTTAGCCTTGCAAATCCAGCACCATGACTGCTAGAAAGTTCAGATGAACTGCTGAATGATGCCTGAGACAAGGAAGACACCAGAGGCTCATCACAATCATCTGCCGAAAGGGAAAATCCACATTCAGGTTAGTACAGTGCTGACAGCTTTCTTGGAACCAACAGGTCAAATAAACAAACAAAACGAAAAATACCAGGATCTCTAACAATATGCCCACTGCTTATATGCGATTTTCTATTAGAGGTCTAATAAGTTCAGTAAGAAAAGGAAAAGAATTTAAAGACAAGAGAATATGAAAATAGGGAAGAAAATTTTCACAGAAATTATAAAATAATATAATATCTTGAGGTAGAAAAAAGGTTTCCCTAAGCAAGAAACAAAAATATGTAATCAGTATACTGAATTTATAAATAAATGTATATAAAGAAAGGTTTATAAATTAAACTATATTAAAATTAAGAAATTAGGCTTGCCAAAAGACACGTAAAGAGAAACATCACCTGTGGAAAGTATGTGCAAAACAGCATATGATTAGTATTCCAAATTAAGGAAACTAAAATAAAATAAAGAAAAACAGGGGTGCCTGCGTGGCTCAGTTGGTTGAGCGTCCAAGTCTTGGTTTCAGCGCAGGTCATGATCTCATGGGTCGTGAGATCAAGCCCAGGGTCAGGCTCCACACTCAGGGGGAACTATGCTTGAAGATTCTTTCCCTCTGCCCCACCCCCAACTCACACGCACTCACTTTCTCCTCTAAAATAAATAAATCTTTTTTAAAAATAAACGAAAATAAAAACTACCTTTATTTTTGTTTAAGATTTTTTATTTATTTTTTGACAGAGAGAGACACAGCGAGAGAGGGAACACAAGCAGGGGGAGTGGGAGAGGGAGAAGCAGGCTTCCCACCGAGCAGGGAGCCCGATGCAGGGCTTGATTCCAGGACCCTCGGATCATGACCTGAGCCGAAGGCAGACACTTAATGACTGAGCTACCCAGGTGCCCCTAAAAACTACCTTTAAATCAGTTAGAAAACACACTTGGAAAAATAGCACAAGGGAGGACCAGAGAGCTCACAGAACAGAACCTATACAAACTGATGCTCTAACTCATCAGTAAAAAGAAGTGTAAATCAAGACTACAATTGGATAGTATTTTACAGACAGTATAGTCACAAGATTTTAGAATTCTTACAACACCAGATCATCCACAGAATGTGGGCCAAGAGAAGCTCCAACAAGGGGCTAGTGGGAGTGTAAATTTGAGCACCTACTTTAAAAACCAATTTGTCATTGGCTTGTGCATTTTTCCGTACCCTGACATTCCTCAATTCCACTGATACATATGTCATCTTGGGCAGAGTAGCCCTAGGATAAACCACCAGTCTCAAGGAGTTTGCCTTTCTAACCCAAGGCTGTGATACAAATACTAGTATTTTCTCTGTCACATGAAAAGAGAAAAGTTGGGAAACACTGACCTAGAGAAACTCTTGCATTTGTGCACCAGGAGATGTGCAGTTTCCAGCAACACTGCTCATAATAGGAAAGAATCATTCAAAACTCAAACATCCAATGACCAAAGAACAGATCAGTATCATAGTACTCTTCACAATGGAATAATATACAGCAGTACAAAGGAAATACACCAATGCACACCAAAGATAATGGTTGGATCTTAGACACAACATTTTTAGTGAAAAAAAATCAAACTATAGAAGACCATATAATTAATTCATATTTGATAGTTTTGAGTATCTTAAAAATAAGCAAAGCTGGAGGAGGAGAGCAAGATGGTGGAGGTGTAAGAGACCTAAATTTTGTCTGGTCCCAGGAATTCAGCTAGATAGGGATCAAACCATTCTGAACACCTACGAAAACTCAACAGGAGATCGAAGAAAAGAATAGCAGCAACTCTCTGAACTGAAAAGCGACCACTTTCTGGAAGGTAGGACGTGCGGAGAAGTGAATCCGAGGGGATATTCTAGAAGATAGATGGCAGGGGAGCGGGCCTTCCTCAGCCGCTACTGGCAAGTGATAGAGCAGCGGAGCAAAAAATCGGAACTTTTAGAAGTCTGCTCCACTGAGGGACGTTGCTCCAGTGGCTAAGTGGGGGGTGGAACCCTTGCTGGGACAGTGCGGTCTCAGGACACTTGGGGTCACAGGAAGACCGGGGGTGCCTGAGTGTGGCGGAGCTCCCAGGTATCAGAGCGGGGAAGCCGGCTGCAGAGACGGAGCCGAGGCGTGGGCTCTCACTCGGGGTCGCCATAAACCATAGTCCGTGGCACAGCCGTGCCACTGCTCCTCCAGCAGGGACCCAACAAGCGGCAGATCCAGGGAGACTCCCCTTCTTCCCCCAGAAGGAGCGGTGCGGAAGCACACCGCAGGGATCTGCTGGGTTTGGAGACTCCAC